CCACAAAGTGGCAGTGTAAATATATATGAGATGTGAGAAACACAGTGATTCATTGGTTTTCACAAATCCATGGTTTAAGCAATTGGCTAACACGTAACAGTTCAGTCTTATAGTATCCTTTATACTCGTTAACAGTCATATGTATATGACCTAAGTCATTTTTATTTTAGTGGAGGGTCCTCTAACGTTCTGTTTATTCAGGTTATTACTATTCTAGTTAAAAAGTTTTAACCTAAACTTTTTACACGTGATGCATAAAGTCCTATTTAGCTAATCTCTGTTAGTTTCTTAAGGTTTATTAAATAAAAGACTTAAATGTGCTGCATGTGTTAATACGGTTAGTATGTTGACAGGTTGCACAACATAGAGACATATTGACTAGTAAGTCAATGACTGTTTCTCTCATGTTTCACTGATACACACGTGAACATCTATAATTTTTTTGTGGAGAGGAGAACATCCTGTGCTGCAAGCCCAGTTATTTCACCAGGAATTAATGAACATTCCTTTTTGGAGTAAAGGGAAATCAAAATTAGCCTTTAAAAGAAAGGAAATAGTCATATGTTTTTATTTTGACTGTTTCTTCCCTTCCCTCCCACCAAAAAAAGAAAGAATAGAATAAACTGAGCTTGGTAATTTAATTCTTAGAATCCTAAAGAATTGGAAAGAAATCTAAGAAAATTAAGATGCATTTAATTTAAAACAATTTTTGTTTTCCTTTTGAGATTGTGTAGGCACTTACGACGGCTGTGTCAGCACTGTCCTGCCAGAAACACTAGTTTTGTCTGTTGGGTTGTGTTTTTTGTTTTTGGATCAAGAATTTATTTGCTCTTGTACTGCATTTTAATATTCACTGCTTTAGCCTCTTGACCTTTTGCTGGCTTTGGGGTTTAAGATAATGAAAAAGTATAAAAATTAGAAGTAGTCTCTGAGGGTTTGGATGCTGTCTGCCATAGTCAGAGAACAGACCCTTTAGATTTATGGGTTTTCCTGGCCAGGTATGTCCATCTAATATTTGGTTAAGAATAGTGAAAAGGAAAATAAAAGAATGTAGGTTACCTTCTTTTGGGAAAAAGGTAACCCTAAGAAATGATAGGACGCCTCAGAATAGAGTTCATGGTTTCATTAACTGTGTGTGTGTGTGTGTGTGTGTGTGTGTGTGTGTGTAGATACCATAATGTTTATTTCTGCAGGAAAAATAAACATGAACAAAAACCAATTATAAAATGGAAAAGGACAATACCATTGTAAATCCTAAATAACACAGCTAGAACTATACTTCATGTCAATTTTTATTAAGCATGGTCAATTTTAAAATGGTCAAATACTGGCAATTACATACGGTTCAATAAAATGTGAAGTACATTATAGAAAACTTAATGGCATAAGATAAATTCCTTTCTTTTACTTCAGGTTGCCTTTTTCAGTTTCCCAGTTTCTAGATTGAACGATATGGCTGTTGACAATACTTAAGTTTTTGCAGTATAGAGAGAGAAAGAGAGAAAAGAAGATATAGAGAAATGGAAGCACAGTGGGACTAAATGATAGAGAAGAGAGACTGAATTTGTCCTGGGCCTGAACCTGGTTCCTAGAGAAGCAGCTTTGAGCAGTGCCTGCTCTTGGACCAACCAGCATAGTCAGTGCCGGGGTGAGGGCAGAGCCCCTGTGGAACGGGGTCCAAGGGTTCACCCCTGCAGGCCAGAACAGAGTGGCGACCAGCACAGTGATCACTGACAGGTGGACAGACAGCCCAATAATCGTCCTCCAGGGATGTGAGTCTTGGAGCTGCTATTCCACTGCTCTGTCAGGGCTCTGTATGAGCCCTGAGATACAGAAGTAATATTGAAAATATTTAACATCAGGTAGCAATCAATCAGAAATCAGACCCAGGTTGTGAACAGGTGGCTGAGCCATCCCAGTGCATTCCCCTGAAGAGTGTATGAGGTCCTCTCATAAATATGAATATCACTATTCCCGGAGTTATTTATTTTGTGGACCTGGGCTGGTTTCATTAACTGTTGATGAGAGTTGCTTAAGGAAGGGAATGATTTGTAGAAATTGGAAGATAAAGATTTAACATTCAGAATTATGATCAGAACAAATCAAAGGGTTTTATATTTACGATCTCAGAAGCCCATCAATTATCCTTAGGCATCAGCTGAAATGACAGTGTGATGTCATTGCCCACAGAGACCAATTCATATTTCAGACTGTTTCTAATTGTTAAGTGCTATTGCCTTGATTACTGTCAGATAGGAGTTTAAATGTCTTATAAGGTTATCAGAGGTTTGTGAATGTTAACCTGCCCCCCACAAAAAACCCAAAAAAACCCTAAAACATATCCATCTTAGGCCCGAACTGCAGACAGTGAATACGTTTTGAACGGTCATTTTTACTGTGCTGTGGGTGGTGCTGGGTGGGCGTGGGGTGGAGAGAGGAGATGTCCCTGGTGAAAGTCAGAACGAGCAGGAAGGAGAAAGGGGTCTGTAAGAGGGGGGTGTGGGCGGCCTCCCGTTGGCTGCCAGCCTGGGCCCGTCCGTGGTCAGGCCGGCCGCAGCGCGGAAGAGGTGGGTCCTGTCGAAGAGCAGTAGTGGAGCTGTGAGAGAAGTGGGGCTCCCTACAGCCTGAGCCTTGATCTGCAGCAGAAGGGAGGGTCCAGGCGGCTGGTTTGCTCTCCGGCAGGCCTGACCAACAGGCACTAGGGCAAAGGTGGAAGATTTGCATATTGGAGAGTGGAAAGAACATAGCATTTGAAGTCAGAAAACATTTTGACCTTGAACCAAATTATTTAACCCTTCTGGGCTTAGTTTTTACATCATTTAGTTTTTCATTACAAAATAAGGATACCAGTCCTTGCTCTCCCGGGGGGACAGGGTCACGGGCAGATCTCGTGTGCATGTGCGCACTCTCAGCTGTTCTCTGTATGTGTGGCCAGGGCTCTGCATTTATTATATCCGGACTCAAAAAATAAAAAGGATGCTAGAAATGAACTGCCGTGATTACTAGTCTTTTTCAGTAACATAAATATAATCCATCGATCTACCCTACTGGGGAGATATTTTCAAAATAAACTGCAAACTTAAGAAATTTTTGTTAAGACAGTTTTGAAATGGAAATTCCCTCTAGAACTCTCCAGCTGAGGGGCACTCTTCACACAGAAGCTGCACATCATTTCAGCTAGACGAGGGGCAGTGCGTCCGTCTCCGGCAGTGCTCGCTCCAGGGGAGCAGTCCCACAGTCGCTCTAGGTGTGTGCCCAGAAGGTGTACCGCGTGGCTTCTCGCCCTGGCCTGGCCCCACTGTGTTTTCTTCACAGCACGTGTCATCTCACAGTCTGTTCTCTTCACCGTCTCGACATGTCTTCCCCCAGCTCTTCCCTCAGTAGAATGTGGATTCCATGAAGGCAGGGGCTCTGGGTCTGTTTTGTTCATGACCACGAGTAGTTCCTGGTACATAGTAGGTAGTCGAATATTTATAAAAAGAATAATCATTGGCTCTAATTGATGTTTGAAATAAATGTTTAAAAACAGGCCCATAAGCAGTCAATGGAGTCGGCATTAATAGAACACCTGCTTCCACCTGAAAAGTGATGACAGGGCTGCCCGTGTTCAGTTGTTGGATTTCTTTTACAGCTGTTGGTGGGCATCACTCTTTGCTTCATCTCCCTCTCTTTTTAACCCAGTAGTAACCTTGAAGAAGATGTAGTCCTCAAAACCAACAAGCAGATTTACTCCCAGCTTCTAAGAGCTACTGCGAACAAAAACGCATCTCTCCTGGAAAGAATTGACGTTCTCGTCCATTTGCTGGACCAGCTGGCTCGTGGCAGCGGCGGAGACGGTGGTGCTCTTCAGTGACTCCCGTCTGGGGCTGCATCCGCAGAGATGCTGTCAGTGCCTTCTGCACTCGGGGGCTATGTGTCCATTTGGTGCTTCGTTTCATTAAACATGAGGGAAATATCCACTTAAAACAGGCACGGCATGGAAAGAGTTCTCATTTCCCGTGGCAAACAGTCATGGTTGAGTTCTTTGGCTTCCTCGTTGGAGGTGCCAACATCAGAATCAGACCTAGAGCTCCCACCTTCGTTTCTCTGAGAAGCATGTGGTACCTCAGTATTAATAGACTTGCTGTGAGGCAGTTAACACTTTTAAATATTTTTGAAGTATGTTAAGCTACATGGGTTTAAGAGATAATTATCTTGGATAAATGTTACTTTGGTCAAGGGAACTATTATCCAAATGATTTTAGTGGTTCAGGTCAGTTAAAGAAACTTCCTGTATATCCACAGTGTTCCCTTCTCAATTGCACAGAAAAAGCCTGCCCTTTTTAAGCTTCAGTACAGGATTTTTCGAAGACTAGCCATTGCACAGTTCTCTCTTCAGTGCATGTTCTGAACGGATCTGCTTTTCTCTGACTTTGTATGACAGTTGATCAAGAATTGGTACTCTCCCCCCCTTTTTTTTCATTTTAAACTTGAAACTGTGAATAAGGTAAGAAAACTATTTTGAATAAATAAATTATTTATTTAAAATGTCTTTGTAGTTTTCCATTTCACATTCTTCACATTGAGTTTTGATGTGAACTGGTTTAATTAATAAATTTTACAAAGTGAAGATTAAAACATCATTAAAAATAAAATTCTGCCATCCACTAAATTCTCACTAGAATATTATACTTACTACTTGCTGCTATATGGCTCTTGTCCAGTTGCTTAAAACATACTCTCTTTTTCCAGTGCCTACAGCATGCAAGGCTGTCTGTACTTGTCACAGTTAATTGATCTCAGTTTCAAAAGATACCGTAACCTACAGATCCAGCATCCTCTGTCCTGTTGAGTTGATGGTTTGGATTTACGTGCATGATGCCTCTGTAGACAAGAGCTTGCCCCGCCACCAAGTCCACTGGCCTGGCCTGAGTGTGGGAAGACATGCTGCTGCCGACCCGCCTCGGTGCTACGTGCAGATGATTTTCACTGTGCAGCCCCCCTCCACTCACTAGCCACACCCTTCTGAAGAAATATGAACTAGACTAGAAAACTGTCTGGAATAAACTTGTTTTAAGCTGAATTTTTACAGACTCCTTTTTCGTACACTGAGATTTTCAGATGTTTACACTGGTGAGTTGGCAGCTCTCATAGCCCGGCAGAATTATCACTTGCCATTTGTCCACTTCCTTGTAATTATGCAGTTTGCATTGTCCTCGGGACAGATCTGCATCAGCTAATCACTGAAGCATTGAAAGTTTTGCCTAAATTGTAAAGCAGTTGTACAAAATCAACGATGTCTCATATCAGGACAGCTGTCATTCTGTTTCCCCTTGTGGCAAGCGCACACACAGAATAAAACTCTTGTTAGTTAAACCCGGACATGTCCATTGATTATATCTAATTGGGGGGTTAATGAATTCCAAAGGATATTCTACTTAGGCAGAAAGAAGCTGGAGTTCACGGTATTAGAGTCGCTCATCTTACCTCTCTCCTTAGCAAACAGCGTTTCAGTCAAGAGGAAGATGTGCTTTTAAGCAAGAAGATATCAATTCCAGCTCTCTTCATTTGTCAGAGCAATAACATGCAAGTTCCTACAGGGGAAGAAAAGATCCTTTTAAAATGTTTTTGTCATTTGCTGATTTTAATTTAAATTAAAGCTTTTTAAAGTGCCTGTGTTTTAGCTGCGTCTTTAGAAGTATGGGGTATTTGTGGCCTGATCGTTGAGAGTTCTTTTTCAGTTTAACTTCAGTGCCCACATTTTGTCCTTATTACATTAATTTTGGGGGGGTTTGTTTATGTTAAGAACAGGTAATGGTGGCCATATAATGTATTATGTAAAGTTAAAGGAGCATGATGGCTAAGATAACTGATACAGGAAAAATAAAGTTATCCAATTAGCTTCAAGAGTCTTATTTTGGTAGTCTAACCCTCGGAACATAAATAAGCTGCCATATAAAGTGTTTCCTGCCTTGAAGAGGGAGGAGCACATTATAGGAATTACAGAGAGCTGGAAAGCTGTTCTGTTCAGGGCCATTTGGGATGCAGGTGTGTATATTCAAACAGAAGAGCACCTCGTGAAAGGAGAGAGTGCAAGGGCACTAGGCTGGGATGAGGCGAAGCAGGGTCAGGAGCGACTGGCGGTCGACCTTTGGCCAGAGACACAACTGGGGAACTTCAGTTTCTTTATCTAGAAACGTGCACAGCAGTATCTGTCCTGCCACTGACAAGAGTTGTGAAGAGCAAGAGAGAAATACACATGAAAACCTTTTGTACACTGTCAAGTATTAGAAAAAGATAAATTGTTAGGACAGGGATTTTGGAGTGTAGTTAATACAAATTCTGTGCTCTTTTCCACTGAATCCCTGAGTTTTCAGTGCAGTAAAATCATTTCCACGCCCTTGGGGTTCAGGGGGTGAGTGGCCTCTCCCGTGATTGGACCCATGGCTATGGCTGCCTTCCTGTCTCTCGGTGAAATTGGGGCCGAGGTGGGTGGAGGGACAGACGGTGGGTGTTGGGAAATGCGGCTACAGAGCCCTAGACAGAGTGGAAGGCAGACAGGTATTCCTCAGGATGCTTTTTCTAACCTTTCCTAAAATTTTTGTAAAATTATTTGTTGAGAAATTTGATTTTCCAATCAAGTAATTTAAAAGCTCAAGTAATGCTTTTCCCATTGGGTTTTAAGTTAAGGAGGCATATTTGCTTCAGTTACTAAAAGTCTGGTTTGTTTTCTTTGTAAAAGAAATCGGACTTTTTCTCTTAGAAATCCTCTGGCTCTCCATTTGCCTATTTTTCTCATCACGAGTTCAGGATGCAGGAATCAACGTCACAGACGTCAAGCCACTGCTCTGAGCTAGACTGCTTGGGAAATAAGCCACTTGAAGGCAGCCAGGAATCTGTTGTTTGTCCCTGCTATTGACAACTTTCCAGCACGTGCTGCCTTTGCAGAAGGCGAGCGGTGAGTGCAGGAGTAGTCAGCTGAGTCTACATTGACAGAATGGCTTTGTGGCTCTATTTCCGGAAAAAACCTTAATAATCTTCATCGGATAAGGGTCAAGGACTTGATTTCTATTCACATCGATGCAAACACTTGCAAAGCAAAGTTAAGACTGGCTTTTCTGGAAGTCATTGATTTTTAGGTTAATTTATAGCAATGAGGTAAGCAAATCTGTGGCTTTGCACCAAATATTTTGGGCTTGAAGTTCTTAATAATTTTCTGTATGATGGGATGATCTGCCATGGCCGTATATATAGGTCTGCAGTAATTGAAAACAGCTTTTAACTAAGAACTTGGTCATCTGACAAATTTCAGTCAAGGATGACAGAAGCAATACCAGGCTGGAAAGCCTTCTATTACGAGGGACCCTTTGAAGAAGTAAATGAACTGCTTTCTTCGGTCATAAAAGGCATCGTCCAGGGACTTGGGATGCCAGGAAATCCTTCTGAAATCAATCTGGGGCAGCTTCTTCCCTGTTCATCTTCTGTCTGGGCCTGGTCCTTGTCACTGTCATATCTCTGGTATTGATTTTCTGAGAGCCAAACAAGTTTTAATGTGTTCTATTACCATTAAGTCACAGGAAACGAGAGAGACAGCTTTCAGTGTGGGCCCCAGCCATCCGTGCTGTTCTCTGATTCCAGGAGAAAGCAGGACTTGCAGCATCCATCCGAGTGGCCTCTGCTCAAAGCAACGACTCCCCAGGCCTTGAATCACCTCTAGATGTAACCCCAGGAGTCGATTTCTCTTTCACATCTTCGCTGCAGCTCCCAGCCCACTGGTGCTCATCAAAAGCAAAAACAAAACAACAAAAACCATGCAGTCTTCTTCACATCGGCATCTTATTTTTCTTCTCCTTCCTTTATAGTCTCAAGATTTTCCTTTTACATGTTAGGGGCCCGTGGATTGTCCCAGATCATTTTCCTATCCTAATTACTATATCCTCTCTGTTTAAAGAAAAACATCATGATGCTTATTATTGGATTCTTCTTTATTCCAGAGCTTTAGAATCATCTAGTTCCACCACCAGCCCCGTTTTTGCAAATGAGGAAACTGGAATAGAGTTGAAGCAATTCACCCCGATTCAGACAGCCTAGGTTGAAGCAGGGATACAGCCCGGGACTCCCAAATTTTACCCAGGTGACTTTACCCACTGTCCTATGAATATTTTGTAATTTTGCTTCGTTTCATTTTAAGATCCAAATGCTAATTTCATGCTCTGAAACAGCGTAGGATTATTTTAAGCGGTGCTTATTTGTTCCTTGCCCTGAATATCTGGTATATTGTCAGTGTGCAATAGAATAGATCCACTGAGTTAGATACTTTTGAGGTCACAACGCACAAAGCATCACAAGCAGTTACATTCCTTAGCAACCAAATATTCAATATATTTGAAAGGTCTACCACTGAGAAGAGTGTGACATGCCTGGCTAAAGGTATGATTCACTCCAACTGGAATGATTTTTGAATCTAGAGTATTCACAGCAAGTTAAATTTGTTTTTTAAAGCTCCAAGAATGAAATACAGCTGTAATTATAGAAACCCCCATGATGACCTAATTCTGTAATTGAGATTCTTTGAGTGTTTCCAATATAAATTCTGGACTTCTTAAGGCACAGAAAGATGTGCTTACAACTCCGAAAGATCCGAACCATCAAAGTCCGCTCTGAGGCCATTTCTTTATGTCACTGAACTAATTCCTCCTCTGTGTGATGTGAAGGAAAAGGACAACCGGATTCATGCACAGGTCTCTTATGGCAACAGTTGTGTGCAAAGTTCTTTCAGCTTGGCTCCGGAGCAATTTAAAGAAATGTGGTTCTACTACTAGGATTCAGGCCGAGGGAGGGCCCACGACTTATTTCTGGGTGGCCAGAGGAAGGAAAAGCAGCAACCACAAAACTGTGTGTGTGATTAGACTGTGTGCATCTGGTCTGCACAGGTGGCCAGCCTCCGCCCCGGGCACGGAGGCCGGGGAAGGCCCCCAGCCGCCTTCTCTGTGTCACCGCAGGCCCCACCTCAGCTTCTGTCTCCCGGCCAAACACTGCCCCTTCCTGCTCAGAAACTGCCACTGATCCTGGTCAGTGAAGTCCCCCCGACCCTGGTGTTCCATGCACCCAGGCTGGCGGGTCTCTCCAGCCCGGCCTCAGCCGGGGTGAGGGCCCTGCCGCCCCTCCCAGGGCGCAGCTGTCTCGCAGCCGCACCTCATTCCTGCTCAGCTCTGAGGCCCTCCTTCTGCTTCCTGAGTCTGTACCCTGGCCTCACCTCCCAAGACAGACTGAAGAAAAAGAAAAGCATCTGACCTACCATTATTGTGCCTGAAAACTTAGCAATAACCCTTTAATCTTATCACATTTACCCAGGCAGCATTCACACTTTCAGCTGTGTTCTCGTTCTTTATTAAATTTGAAATTAGCTTTTGATCAGAAGCTAAAAACTTTCTGTAAAACAAAAACTAAGAAGATGAAGGGCAGAATAAAATTACGTAAGGTGTCGCGCCGGCATCTTGTACTTCCCATGTGACTCTGATATGCGACATTTACACAGAGCCAGAGAGAGACCCACGCCTGTGCCCGTGAGGTCCACTTTGCTCCCCTCCTGCCCCTGGGCTTCCGTAAGGAGCCCTCGTGTAGCTAAATGAACCCCCTCGTCTAGTGGAACTGGCTTGGCAGGCTCTCCATACCTTGTGATCGGAGAAACGTGACCAGAACCAAACTCTAGCTTCTTCTCACCGCATGGTACGTTATCGATGTCAGTATACAGTTCTCAACTATACTGTCAGTTGTATGCTCTCTGTATAACATAGATAACCATATATAGAACTCTGACATATATGTCAATTGTATGTTTTGTATATATAGTCATTTATAAAACTATGTATATAGTTATAGGGACTTCCCTGGTGGTCCAGTGGTTAAGACTCTGTGCTTCCAGTGCAGGGAGCATGGGTTCAATCCCTGGTCAGGGAACTAAGATCCCGCATGCCATGTGGCACAGCCAAAACAAACAAACAAAAAAACCAAACAAAAATTATGTATCAATATATAGTTATATATATCAACTATATGTCAGCTATATTTATCAATTTACTTAATCAGATCAATATATGTCAGTGAACACAGATCTGAGTTGTGATAAGTGGCTACATAGTGTCCACCATGTGGCCATAACTCTTGGGTCTAAGGACACTGACTCCCCACCACGTGGCAGGGTTTTTCTTCCATCTTTTTATCAAAATCTCAAACTATGTTTTGATTAGAAGACAAACCCTAAATATTTTCTCTGAGGGAAACCAGAACCTGCAAAGCTGCAAGACTTAGAACAAAATGATGCACAAATTTCATCCGGACATTCTGCACTTCCTGGGAGGCGGAAATCAACCTAAATGCAGGACAGAACTGAGAAGTCTGTGATTGGGAGCTGGTGTTCTGAAGGCTGACATCTAGACATTCTGCATTTCCTGGGAGGCGGAAATCAACCTAAATGCAGGACAGAACTGAGAAGTCTGTGATTGGGAGCTGGTGTTCTGAAGGCTGATGTCACACAGCCTGCGTCCCAACGGGTCTCAAAGCCCCAGAACCTGCCTGTCCCTCCCTTGAGCTCTGGCGGAAGACGGCACATCTGGAAGTCAGGTCTCCCTCTAGATGACAATGAGATCCTTCTTAGGATCATAGGAGCAGGGGATTTATTACTGAAGGGTCTTGTTCCCTACAATTCATTTTATTTTAAATTTATTTTTATTTGGTTTCATGCAGCTCAGGACGCCTGGACTCAGGGAGGTGTGGCTTACCATTAGAATCGTTGGCTTTTCTCAGGGAGTTACCTCTCTCCTCTCCAGTGATTACCAAGCCTTTGAAGGGACTGGCTTCTCAAGGTTCAGGGTATTTGATTAACCAAATTGCTTATTCCAGGTAAACTGGATTTTGAGGAAATCAGTTGGATTTCAGAAGAAAAATAGCTGAGGGAGGCGTGTGACCGTACGATAAAGAGAGAATAAGGGAGAGGGGCTCCTGGCGAAGGTGGCTCCTGGTCTGTCTGTGCAGGACACTCTCCACCTCGGAGCCGGGGGAAGGGTTTGGCGGGGAGCTTCTAGAATTTCTTTAAATACTAAGATGGCATGACCTACTTGTCATTGGGAGAACTGACATTTTTTTCCCCTAAAACACATATCATTTACAAAGTGGGTTTGCACATTCTCGGCATTGCACACACAACATTTTTGAAAAAAAAGACATTCCCTTAGTTATTCCCACAGGAGATTTTTAAGCCTGACTCTGAAAGTGAACATATCTCTGAAAGTGAACATATCTCTGAAAGTGATGGAGGCCCAGGGTCTGGGAGCGAAGTCACTGGCTCAAATGTAGGTCTGTCTGATTTGCAACTGCGCGTTACTGCCTGTGAGAGGGGGAGAAAGAGTCCTCCCACCATGTGTCCTTCTGACTTCCTTCTCTCTAGACTTCACATTTCAGTCCCTTTTCATCCACAAATAAACCCTTTACCCATCCGGGAGCAGCTTAGGAAGATGTATCCACGTTTTACACGCAGAAGGCTCTGTGGTTTGGGCTCACGCTCCCTCCACTGAAGGAGGCATGTTGAGGTTGCTAAGTGGCTGGGGCACGGTGAGGGCACATTCACTGCCCCCAGCGCTTCTCTGCCTGGGTGTGTGCTTGACATCAGGATGATAACTGAGAGGCCTGACTTCAAGATTATGGTCACCACGGCCGGAGGCTTACTGATCGTTGCAAGCCTGCTGATGTGCTGTGTCATCTGTCTTAGCTGCAGAGTGACTAGGGCACTGAAGTGAGCAACGAGGGTAAGAGTGGCTAACAGCCCCCCCAAAGGGGATCCTGGGGCTCTGTGCTGAGCGGGGTCATCCCTTGCCCCGTGGCCGCACCCCCGGTGAGGTCAGGAACAGCGGGAGAGTTTGAGACGACAGAGGCAGTGCGTGTAGAATCCTGGTTTCTTCCCCTTCTGGTTTGGGGCTGTGAGCTCATAAGTAGAATGTTCTCAGCCGGGTGGCTCTGTCCTGCTTTGCTGTCACTTGGCCTCATTGAGTTTACCCTCAGCTGGCTAATTCCACAGCACTGCAGACTGAAGACTGTGTGAATGAGTCTCTGCCTCTGTTCACCCAGAGGACGGGCCGAGCTGACCTCCTCTTGCCTGAGTTGGGGAGCTCTCGGGGTGTCCTCGGGGACGGGGAGGGGGGCCTACAGGACTGGGGAAGCTGAGCTGTGTGGAGCTCCTGGCTGACCTGGCCGTGGGGTGCAGGTCAACATCGTTAACTTGCAGCTCTTTCCAAAATGTTTTTCACTTTATCTGGCGCCGAGGAGCAATTTTCCAGGAGGTAAAGTGAACGTTTCCAGTTTGGGGAAGTTAAACCTGTGAGGGAGGTGGGACCCCAGGAGCCCAGTCTGGCGGCCTGCGTGCTGCCTGCCCTTCTCGCCCGCACCTCCTGCCTGGAGCTGGCGCACACCAGGCACTGATGGTCAGACCGGTCAGCCCTGGTGCCACGTCCCTTCTTATTTATAAAATGTTTGGGGAGGAAAGGATTGGGTCAGGATTCAGGAGAGGGGCAGAGAGGTATGATCGAGGGATGAAGTCACATGACACCATTGCCCAGCCAAGAACCTCTGACAATTGTAAGAAATGGATTTAAGGAAAAAAAAAAGAAATCTAATTTTTAAAATAAAATCTCTGAAGGAAAATATGACAATCAATGACACTGACACAAAAGGCAGGCGACTCGGTTTCGAAGACGGCCATCCTGGGACCCCACTGTCAGGCTCCTGGCGACAGAGCCTCGGAGAGTGACGCCGTGGACCGCCCCCGTCTCCTGGCCACAGTCCTGCCGAGTGAAGTACAGACCAGCTCTGCTGAGCTCAGCTGCCTACCGACTTTGTCCCTTCACAGTGTTTGCAGCCCCTCGAGGGCAGGAGCCGTGCTGTCTCTGACCCCCAGGTTCCCAGCACGTGGCCCAGACTCATTAGGTGTCAGAGGTCGTGACCCGACGTCACCTTTGCACCGGATAAACCTCTCAGACACAGCAGTAAATCCTGAATGGCATTATTTGGCTTATTGTTAAGAATATGTTACACATTAGAATTTTTAGTAAAATGATTTCCTGCTAGTTTATTTTCTAAAAAAACCATATACATCGCAATGTTTTTATTTTACCTTCCATTCACAATTAACATAATTGCATCAACATTTAACCTAATAGTTGGCACGGAGCCATTATTTTAACTCGTTAGGTGAGTTATTACATGTAACTGAGTTAAAGCATCTAAAACTTGGAACAGCGCCCGAGAACTCATCCCATAATTATGAGCTCAGCTCTAAGGTCCAAAGGGAACACCTTCAACTCACTGCTGACCACCCCAGGCCCGAGGCCCAGCACTGGTTCGGCGCGCAGATTCCCGCACGATGCTTTACTCTCTTCCCAAAGGTCTTCCTGCACCAACACTCCGCGGCACCGGCTGGGGTGGGCGCACAAGAGCCCACGTAAGGAGCGAACGCAGAATATGGCGAACCCTCTACAGCACCTCTGTTCAGTGTCTGCTCCCTGATCTGTCCTCTCCCACCTCATGTTCTGTCCCTTCTGATCTTCAGGAAGGACACAGGAAACTTGGGGCTGGGGGCTCTATCAGGGTCGTGTGGGACTCGTGCCTCATGCCGGCTCCACAACCTCAAAGCTAACCCTTCCCAGGCTGGACCTGTGCCTGTCGAGCTCCTGTCCTGAGGTTGCCATTCACTCTCTCCTACCAGCCCACAGACAACGAACCAGCAAAACTCTCGGCCTTAGGAGGAACTGTCAGCCTCTGGGAAGGGGTGAGCAGAACCACGTGTGGCCTCTCTGGGTTTAACTTTCCGGAGCTGAACGTTACTGAGACGCTGCCTTCTGCCGTCCCCAGTATCTGCAGAACCAGGGGTCCTTCCCCAGTCACTTTAAAACTCACGTTTGCCTACCAGCCCTCACGTTCTAAACTGCTAACAGGAGCCCCCCAGCCCAGCTGCCAAAGCCCAGGTTCCCCACTCACAGCGACGGCCAGGAAACCTGCACCCTCGATGCCCGGCTCACCTCCCTCTGATGGACTGAGTCGGCAGCAACCCTTCCAAATCCCAAACTGACCTCCATCTTTCCAAATCTGCCCCGCCTCTCCTTAAACCCTGGTCACCTCCTCTCCAAAAGGTCACTTCAGGCTGCCATGCGGATGAAAGACATTTAGCAAATCCTTGTCGCCTGTGCCCAGCCCCGCTCTCACCCTCCCTGGGCCGCCTCCCGCCCCTGCCCCCGTGGGGTGATGCGGCCCCTCTTCTGCAGCCCACGCACCCCTTCTCACCTTTGTCTCCCCGCCCGCCTCCAGCCGGGTTTCTCGTCTCCTCCTCCGCTGCCCGGCGCCTGTTTCGTACTTCTCCAGCTTCTAGACTCGCCCGGGGACTGCCCCCTGGCCAGGTGCGATGGTTTTCAAACGTGGCTGCAGATGGCAACCACCTGGAGGGCTTCTGAAACGCCTGCTGCTTGGGCTTTGCCCTAGGAAACAATTAAGTAGGATGGGGGTGGGCGAAGCAACTCCCTTTGCAGAAGCACGTCACGTGGTTCTCATGTGCAGCCAGAGTTCCTGATTCGTGGTCTAACCTATTTCACTTCGATAATACAGAGAAAAACATGTGTATAACGCAGCGCTCTCCAAATTACTTTACGCAATCCTCCGGGACAAATGGCCTCCCTGTGCGACCACGATCGGTTATAGGACACACCCGTGGCCCCACAAGTTCCCTCTGGCCCGCACCCTGCATCCCCCTGTCGGGCCGGCACTGCACTGCACGCAAGCACTCCTCCCAGTCGGCTAACCCAGTCAGTCCTTCTGTGGAGCTCTCATCCCCACGAGGTCCCCGTTCCATTTCTGATTGGTCTGTGGCTCGTCCCAACTGGGACCACAAGCTCAGACTAGCAACGCTGCAGGTTTTCCTATTCCCTTCCTACAGGGTTCACCACCTTGCACTGAAAAAACCCTGGTTTTCTCCTCCTGCCCGAATCTAGGGTCCCAGCAGTGGGTGCACAGGGGTGAGGGGCATCTCTAGGCCACGAGGCCACTCCCGCTGGTCTGGCCCAAAGGGCGGGTTTTCAAGAATAAACGCTTCTCGATTTGTCGTCTGACTCAGGTCAAATTCCAGAGCCCTGAAATGGTTGTTTGTAACCATTTTGTCCAATTCTACCTTTGCTTTCGACTGGAGAGGATGAGCCTCCCCCTCCCGGCCCTCGGTCCTGCACATATTCAGTGATACGGTGAGGCACGCACGGGGCTCCACCCCAGGTCAGAACAGATTCCCTCTGCTTCCTGCGCCAGCCACACCCCTGGTCTCAGAAGGGTTCTGAGGCCACGGCACTGGCTTCAATCCTTGAGAATAATGGAAAGAAAAGGAAACAATTACAAAGGAAAGGAAAACTATGTTCATTGCACTTAGTAAAGTAACAAAGCAGACTCCCGTGGTTCAGCATTGTTAAAAGGATTTTTATACATAGCTTTATAATTTTCAGTTCTGCTCATAATGCTAAAGGTTTGTGCTTGCAACTCTGCCTCAGCCAAAAGTACAGAAACCACCGTTTCTATAGCAACTTGACCTTGCCCTGACCCCCAAGCACGTGATCAGGGGACCGGCTCACCCAGTCTGGGCATCATCGACCCCAAAGGACAGTCTTTTATGGGACCCGGCAGGCTGGGCTCTGGGCCCTGGGACCCTTTGCTGCAGTGCTTGCACCTGGACAAACGTCTCCTTGAGCAACAAAATACAAAGAAACTATAAGGGACTAAAAATAACTGTGTGCATGTGCCGTTGGGGCAAATTCTGGGCAACGAGATACAAAAAGACCCCCAAAACCCAACTGCCACTTCTGAAGAGCCGGGAGCAAAAACAGGGTACTGTGCATGCCCCCTGCACTCAGCACCACCAAAGTGGTGGGCAGACCACCTAAGGCAGCCCTGCAGCCTGACCCCTGACACACCCCTCCCCTGCCCCCACGTCAGGAACAGACGGCTGCCCCCCCCCCGAGCTAATGTCCATCTGATGTGAGGTGGTGTATGAACGTCACCGGTCCTGGTCTACGTGCTGAGTCCACAAACCCCTTCTAAATTCATCCTGGTTCTGTCACTCACTAGCTGTCACTTAACTTCTTGAGTCTCCTCTTCTTCACCAGAGAAATGGGAATACTAGTGACATCTACTCCCGAGGGCTGTTAACGGGAATGGACATCAGAGAGGCAAAGCCCCTGCACGGGGCTGGAGTCGCTCAATAGAAAACGCCTTCCAACGGGACCTGCCATGCGCGGGGAGCACAGGGATCTTTCCTACCACAAGCTCACGTGACTGACAGACAGACACGGGTTTCATTCAACCCAGCTCAGAAGCCAGGCCAAGCTTATAAAAATGGGAATAAAGTTCGGGGACGGATTCCCGAAACCTCCCTGCAGGCCCTGCATCTGCACGGGAGCCCCTTGAAGTACGGGAGCCCCCTCGCCAGCCTCTGGGAAGCCCGGCGGACTGATGCGGTTTTTCTGTCTCTGAAGGAAAGAAAGCCTCTCTGTATTCGAATTACAGTTGTCCACAAAGCAGGAATTTCGAGGTCCTTCTGTAAGATGAATAAAACTCCTTCACACACAGCAAACTTTATTATTCATACCAGGTTTGTCAGTTCTCAGAACGTGGGCGCCAAACACAGCTTTGCACTGAAACCACAGACAGCAAGTAACAAGGCACAGTCAGCAGGAGTGGCCAGTGCACTTTATTTGATTTCCTTCTGCTGCCACAGGAGCCGCGTGCGCCGGGCGGGGGTCCGAGCTGGACTCCACAAAGGGACGTCAGGCGCACGTGGGCCTGACGCGGCCCCGGGTCCCGGCCCAGCCTCGGTGTTGGCGGGGGCTCCCCCGGGCGCGAGGCAGAAGTGTGAGGGGGCGGTTTCCCAGGAGCCCCTGCCCGATGCCCGGCTCCACCGGGACGCAGTAGCACCTGGTCCTGGGCCCACAGGGGCAGCTCCGCCCAGGGAGGGCGCTGGGGCCTCTGACTCAGCATCCATGGGACTGGAGCGCCGTCCTGATGCCCGCAGCCAGGGCTTGCGGCGTGGGGCTCTCTGCGGTGCAGCTCACGGGCAGGCCCTGCGCGGCCAGGGCGTGGGCTGTGGTGGGCCCAATGGCCACGAACTGCAGGGAGAAGACAGAGGGGCCTCAGTGCACCCGCAGGGGGCGATGGGATCAGGGCCTGTTGCCTCCTGTCTGTTAGGACATCACTCCTCACGTGAGAGCTTATAAATGAGATGACACCTCCTGATGTGAACCCAGCTCTACCGCCTGCAAAAAGCCTCCGTCTCTTGACAGCCTCACCATCGGCCTGAACAAGCTCTCACTAGCCCTGCGGCCCGGGCTTGGTGGGGTGGGGGGGTGGGCGGGCAGGAGAGGCCTGGAATCAATCAGCGCCTGCCACGGCGGGACCGGGTGGAGCACTGAACACAGTCTGAAAGGGGCTCTGCGTGCAGCATGGGGTGGTGGCTGGGCCCTAGGAAAGCAGAGCGGTCAGGACCAGGGCCCGGAGCCAGAGGGTCGGGTTCACATCGCAGCTGCACAGGACGGTGGCCTCAGCAAGTGACCTGCCCTCTCTGGGCCTCCGTCCCCTCCTCCGTGAAGCAGAAAGGTTAAGAGATTTCCTCCTCAGGCTGCTCTGAGGATTAGCTGAGCAATGCGTGTAACCACCCGCATGGCCCCATGCCTGGCACAGACAAACGCCCAGTGACCGTCAGCGGCTGCTACCTGTAGGACCATCGTTATCCCAGATTAGAAGCTCCAACGGCCTGGGCCTCGTCAGCAGGACGCCCCTCTCCAGACAAGCTCGTGTCTGAAGGTCCCGTCCAGAGCCTCACTTTGTGCTGAACAGGATTTTTCGCTGTGACTCTGGCCCTCGCTAGCTGTCATTACAAATCACTTAGCCTTTTTGATCCTTGGTTTCCTCATCTGTGAAAGGGGCACAATTACCCTGCCTCTCAGTTGCCAGCGCAGGGGTGAACTGAGAAGATCGACAGCTTCTGGCAGAGAACGTGCTCATCCCCACGCCCCTCTGGACTAACACCGTGGACATGGACCCGCCTGGGAGTGGTCTGTGAAGGTGAGCCCCCCGACAATGGCAGCCCCTGCCCAGCACCCCCCTCCCCACCCCCCCAGGCAGGCTGGCGGTAGTGTGAACAAGATACCGCCCTTGCACAACCTCAGGACGCTGTGGCCTGACACTCCTCCCCAGCGCGTGTGGGAATGAGGGGAAGGAGGCTGCTGTCTCACAGAAGCTCGGGCTCCTGTAGCTCCCACGCTCCCCCCCATGAAGCAGCTACCCCTCAAGAAACTCCCTGAGGAAAAAAAATGAAGCTGGACCCCTACCTCACATCATAAACAAAAATTAACTCCAAATGGATCAAAGACCTAAATGTAAGAGCTAAAACCATAAAACTAGAAGAAAACATAGGAGTGAATCTTCAATGACCTTGCATTAGGCAATGTTTTCTTAGATACATGATGAAAAGCACAAATAATAAAATAAAAACTAGATAAAGAAAACTTTTGTGCTTCAAAGAACACCGTTAAAAAAGTGAAAAGACAACTCACAGAATGGGAGAACGTTTCTGCAAATCACATACCTGATAAGGGACTTGTATCCAGAAAACAAGAACTCTTACAACTGAACAAAAAGGCAACCTAGTTAAAAAGTGGCAAGGATGTGAGTAGACATTTCTCTAAAGAAGATATAAAAATGGCCAACAGCACGTGAAAAGATGCTCAACATCACTAGCCATTAGGGGAATCCAAACCAAAACCACAACAAGAAACTCCTTCTGGTATATTCATAGAAGGGACTGTTACCTGGCAATACAGAGGAAGGAAGTACTGACACATGACGGTATGGGTAAATCCTGAAACCATTATGCCAACTGAAAAAAGCCAGTCTCAAAAGGCTACGTATGGTATGATTCCATTTATATGAAAAGTCCAGAATAGGTAGATCTGCAGAGACAGAGATTGGGTTAGTGGTTGCTAGGGGGTTGGGGAGTGACTCTAATGGATATGCGGTTTCTTTCGTGGCTCTGAAATGTTCTGCACCGAGAGGGCGATGGTGGCGCGCCTCTGTGAATTTACTGAAAACCACTGAATTGTACACTTTAAAAGGGTACATATGTAATTCATAGAAAGTGAGTTTTATCGTATGTGAATTATATCTCAATAAAGCTATTTTTTAGGGAATTCCCTGGTGGTCCAGTGGTTAGGACTCTGCGCTCCCACTGCTGAGGGCCCAGGTTTGCCCCCTGGTTGGGGAACTAAAATCCCACAAAGCCCTGCAGCACGGCCAAAAAAAAAAAGACTGTGTTTTTAAAAAAGAAACATTAAAAAAGAAAGAAAGGTGGTCTTTTCTCCATTGTATATTCTTGCCTCCTTTATCAAAGATAAGGTGACCATATGTGGGTTTATCTCTGGGCTTTCTATCCTGTTCCATTGATGTATATTTCTGTTTTTGTGCCAGTACCATACTGTCTTGATTACTGTAGCTTGGGGGAAAACTGGACAGCTACATGTAAAAGAATGAAATTAGAACACTCCCTAACACCATACACAAATATAAACTCAAAATGGATTAAAGACCTAAATGTAAGGCCAGACACTATAGAACTCTTAGAGGAAAACATAGGCAGAACACTGTTATCACATAAATCACAGCAAGATTCTTTTTGACCCACCTCCTAGAGAAATGGAAATAAAAACAAAAATAAACAAATGGGACCTAATGAAACTTAAAAGCTTTTGCACAGCAAAGGAAACCATAAACAAGACGAAAAGACAACCCTCAGAATGGGAGAAAATATTTGCAAATGAAGCAACTGACAAAGGATTACTCTCCAAAATTTATAAGCAGCTCATGCAGCTCAATATCAAAAAAACAAACCACACAATCCAAAAATGGTCAGAAGACCTAAATAGACATTTCTCCAAAGAAGAGATACAGACTGCCAACAAACACACGAAAGGATGCTCAACATCACTAATCATTAGAGAAATGCAAATCAAACTGCAATGAGGTATCACCTCACACCAGCCAGAATGGCCATCATCAAAAAATCTACAAACAATAAATCCTGGAGAGGGTGTGGAGAAAAGGGAACCCTCTTGCACTGTTGGTGGGAATGTAAACTGATACAGCCACTATGGAGAACAGTATGGAGGTTCCTTAAAAAACTAAAAATAGAATTACCATATGACCCAGCAATCCCACTACTGGGCATATACCCTAAAAAAAACATAATTCAAAAAGAGTCATGTACCACAGTGTTCATTGCAGCTCTAATTACAATAGCCAGGACATGGAAGCAACCTAAGTGTCCATCAACAGATGAATGGATAAAGAAGATGTGGCACATATATACAATGGAATATTACTCAGCCATAAAAAGAAACGAAATTGAGTTATTTGTGGATGGACCTAGAGTCTGTCATACAGAGTGAAGTCAGAAAGAGAAAAACAAATACCATATGCTACCACATATATATGGAATCTAAAAAAAAAAAAAAAGGTTCTGAAGAACCTAGGGGCAGGACAGGAATAAAGATGCAGATGTAGAGAATGGACTTGAGGACACAGGGAGGGGGAAGGGTAAGCTGGGATAAGGTGAGAGAGTGGCATGGACATATATACACTACCAAATGTAAAACAGATAGCTAGTGGGAAGCAGCTGCATAGCACAGGGAGATCAGCTTGGTGCTCTGTGACCACCTAGAGGGGTGGGATAGGGAGGGTGGGAGGGAGATGCAAGAGGGAGAAGATATGGGGACATATGTATATATAGCTGATTCACTTTGTTATACAGCAGAAACTAACACAACAATGTAAAGCACTTATACTCCAATAAAGATGT